AACAATAGGGAGATAAAAATCAAACAAGCTCCAGTTTACAGAAGTAGCATTAACTTGTATTTTGTTAAGGAATGAGTAAGATTGCAATTAACAATAAACAGATGGGGACACCGTCTTTGGAAAAAAACAGTGGTCAAATAGTTTTGAAACATGAAAAAGTACTCTCACAGAGCTGGCAGGTCCATCAAGCTGTCCAAGGGAAAGAAATGTCCTCAAATATGGTGTTAACCTCAACAAAGGACAAACATATTACCACACTCTTGTCCTCTTATCATCCAGTCTCCATGGTACAGTGAACGTGATGTTCTAAAAACAGAAATCAAAGTATGTCGCTGTCCAATGGCTTCCCACGGAACTGAGAATAAAATGTAAACGCCTTCCCATGGCCTCTAAGGACCTGTGAGTCTGGCCCTTGCCTCTCCCACCGCCTCCAGCCCAGCCCAGAGTCCTGGGTGCCCACTGAGCGCCACCCCTGGTTGGCTCTCTGTGCCCTGAACCAGCAAGCTCATTCCCACCTCACGACCTCTGTGCCCACGGTTTAGTTCATTCTGCCTAGATTTTTCTTTCTCCAGATCCCCATATACTTCGTTCTTGGTTATTATTTGCGTTTATTCAATTATGATTACGATGATGATTAATTTATTATTCATTCTATTGTTAATCGCCTCTCCGGAGGAGCATCTCTGATCATGTAATCCAGAGAACCCACCGCCTGCACCCAGCATTCTCCGCCCCGTTACCTGCCACACCGCCGCCCTCTATGCGTACGGACAGATGCAGCAGAGCAGAGCCCTGGCTCTGTGGTCCACGGCAGAACCCAAAGCACGCTGAGAGACGGCGTGTGCCGGGTGAGTGACAGGAGGAACGTTCAGTAAGGTTGGGACAATGGAACTCTGGGTCGCTTATCACAAGTCTCAGGGTTGGGTTTGCAACATCAAGTGATGAAAAGCTTCCTTTGTTATTTTGTTATATAAAACTCTAAAACAAGTTCAGAAAGCTAAATTGCTAAGTTGCTTTGCTACTGGTTACTGGCAAGACAAGAGATTACTGATCAGGATATCGAGATGCTACAATCATAAGCTACGAACCTGATAAAAAGTTTCAACTACGAATAACAATTTGAGTTACACAAAACTCAATGTTTTAATTTTTTGATTTTTAAAAAATTAAGCATGACAGTCAATTAGTGATCAAGGCCACTGTATTAAATCATTACGGTTAAAGCCAACATAACGCTACATGTTAATTATATCTCAATAGAGCTGGAGAGAATCGTTGGGGCTGCACCCAGACAGGATGGCTCGCCCCTGCTCCCAGTTGCCTCATGGACTGCCTGTTCCCCCAACCTGTGTTTTAGGTTAGATGTGGCCAGATGACCACCTTTGGCCAATCAAATGAAAACCAAAGTGACGTGCTGAGACAGAGCCTTCATCCTCTTAGGTTCCTGAGCAGCTACAACAGCAGATCCACAATGGATGCACACTGAGAACAAACAGTAAAGTAAAGGCAGCTGTGTTAAGCCCCTAAGACCGTGGAGCTGTCTGTTCAGGCGCAGCGCAGCCCAGCGCAGCGCATCCTGACTGACACGCAGTACAGCACGGCGAGCAGGAACCTGGGCTTTGCAACCTGACTGGCCGCGTGTGAATCACACAGGTCCACAACTTCCTGTTTGAATGATCGTGGGCAAGCCATGGCCACCTCACTGGGCCTTAATGTCTTCAACCATAAAATGGTTATAAAACCTACACTTCACAGAGTAGGTGCAAAGACTGAATTAATAGGAAACCGTATGCTCAATATGTAACGAAGTGCCTGGCACACCGGGTAAGTCCTCAACAGACAGGACATGGCACCAAACTCCAGTGATCCACTTTAGGCTGCTATGAGGATATTGGCACTGTGGAACTTCACTCACCTGAGATGTTCTACAGAGTATAGTAAGTTCTCATTTAATGTCATTGATAGGTTCTGCAACTTTAAGTGAAATGTTGTAAAATAAAAACAATTTTACTACAGGCTAAGTAATATAAGCAAGAGTTAACTTCCGAAGGCATCTCATCAACATTATAACAAAAGGGCACTGAAGAAAGGCAGTAAGAACTGCTATAAACTAAAGCATTCTAAACTCTATATTCAATGAGACAGCCATTTATGAAGTTCTGGATTCTCCTAGATAAATCCAGGAAAAAGAGAAGGGAAATAGGGGTCCATCTCAAAGTGAAGCAGTAAGATGGGCGTGTAAAGTTCATGGAGTGAAGGGTTTGTATGATTTGCAAATGGAGAGGAAAAAATGGAGGGTGAGGGAAGGAAGCACGGAGACTGCCCCTCTTGCCTGCCAGCCAAGCTCGGGCTCAGCTGGAAGAACAAAGGCGCACACGCAAAGCCAGGCTGTGCTGTCAATTGTGAAGACAAGAGATGGTAAGGAAGGGGTAGGTGTTGAGTGGAGAACAGACCAGAAGAGAAAGAAGGACAAAGAACATGTGGGGCTCGGGGCTCGGGGCTCAGGGCTCCGGGAGCCCCGGGCTGGGGTTGGGGGAAAGCCTGGCGAGCACATGCACCAGGACTGGCTTGAAACACACTGGCAACGCCGAGCAGTCGGAATGCGGCTTCAGTAGTCGGTGCTTAAGACACAGGGGGCTCTGGGCTTTGTACTCTAGTCTTCTCCGAAGGACCAACCTGTAAACAGTACAGGACTCTCGCTCCAAGGCTCCTTTGGTCCCTAAAACTCCACTGTCAGGCATACATAAATGAATGGCTGTGTGACTGTCCTAGAGACCATGGCCACCATAGGGGGCAGATGTGACAGCTAACATTCGTGAATGCAAAGCAGACCAGTCCCTAGAATGAAAAACCTAACCCTAAAGTCACCATCAAGAGTTAAATTAAAAATCAATCTGGTTCAAGTGAAAACTTTTCTAATATCTAAATTTTGGGTAGTTATTTTGATGTTTTCAAGCATTTATTGCTCATTTTCACTGGCTACAAATGAGAATACAAGAGAGAAAATCATCAAATGTCCTGAAACAATTCTTAAATTTTAAAAATTACTGGAACAACTGTTGAAAAACACTCACAGATTTTATGCCATGATGTAAGAATCAGGACTAAATATCATGTAACTAATATTCCTCAAATAATGAAAATAGAACTAAAGATGCTGAAAATTTTACTCATAAAAGGTGGGTAATTTTTATAATACAAATAAAAGTTTCATTACTACCCGACCAGACCATTTAAATTATACCCAAATCAGAAATGTGCTAACCATTAGAAACATAAGAGGACACTTTTCCATTGATATTTGGTGCTTGGCATCAAAGGCAGTCCTCTGCAGATCTGATATTAAAACTTGTCAAAAGCAAAATGAAATTGTAAAAGAGCCAAAAAAAGAAAGGGCTACAACCCTTCTGAATGGCATGTGGACTTTCTTTAAATACAAGCTCATTTGATATAAATGAACTATTAAGCAAAAGTGTGAAGTGTCAAAGAAATAAAATATTAGAAATAAAATGCTACTATCCTAATAAGATATAAGAATGAAAGCATTATTAAACCTAAGGTTAAAGTTGCAGCCACTGTTATAAATGATTGTCAAACAGTGAGGCACCAAAAACAACGTCAATATTTAGACTCCACTTTGGAAACATTCACGATCATTCTAGTTCAAAATCAAGACTCCTCTCACAAGAGTTCCCAGGCCATTAGAAAAGCGAGCTCCTTTGGGTGACAAGGTTCACATGAAGAATCAGTCTTAAAATAGGAAAATATATGAAATCTATGACATATACATGCATATAACTTCAATGGGCAATGACTGTGAAAATCCACTCTGTTCTTTTCCCTCCCTCATTTTACCATTTCAAAAATAATTTGCCTTCAAAAGCACGTCAGTAAATCTGCAAGTTTTAAAATAATAGAAACCGTGTGCCCCATGTGTTCACCAGATTCATTTTTTTATGACGTATGGTCCTCTACATTAAAATAAACATATTTTGATAAAGAAAGTAATGAAAAGAAATCAAAGAATCCATTCCAAAAATTTCACATCTCTCAATGCAACACAGGACTGAATTTATTAAACTTGGCCACCTAATAAAATTGGACTTGTGATCTCGATTAGAGGCACCTGTAAATGATAAAAAGGTGTCCAAAGTTTCAGTTGATGAGGGACACAAAATATTTTCAAGTCTGGTAGTTTTAAGCTAAGCACTAAAATTTATAGACTTCACATTTTTAAGTTTTGTCCTTCATATTTTTTTAAATGTGGTTATAAAGATTTCAAAAAAGAATGATTCAAAAAAAAAAAAAAAAACGCTTCTGACACCCATAAATTTCTCTAACTGCAAGTAAACAATATTAAGACCAGAAAATAAGAATCCTACTTTAGAATATATTAAATCCACCGGTTCTACTTATCAGAACACCCTTGAAGCCACAGAAATGTCCACAGCAGAATTGTTGAGTCTTCAGGTAATCCCGCACCCCCTCTAGGAGAAGCACATGAAGCCCCTCTTACATTTCAACATCTGCCCTCTTGTTTCTACTCCATGAAGAGGTTTTTCAAGGACAGAACAGCTTAAAGTTTCCCATTTGATCAGTTTTGGTCTCTAGAAGAAAAAACTTTCAGCTTTTCAACAAATGGGGAATTAGAAAATAAAAAGTATTAAAAATGAAAACTTAGTAAGCTTCAAAACAAAAGCAAAAAATTAACACCAGAGTGTGGCGGGGGAGAGGTAAGAAAAGGAGTGTCTGAACTAAGGTCCCTAAGAATGAATGAGTCCTCTACGAAGGGCTCCACGGAAATGCCGGCCCACACCCCGCAAATGCACACTCCACTTCACAACAATCGCAAACCAGGAAGCAGCGAATTCATTAATGGCACTAAGTACAGAAAGGAAAATCTGGGAGGAATGAATGTGTGTGTTACTATCTTTTAAAAATCAAAAACTAGTCTAACATCTAGGTAATGCATTTGTATAAATTCTTACATTTAAACTCACCTGATTCATTTTCAATTCCTGTTGTGTTCTGAAAAGATACACACAACAAAAACTTCTTTGATTACATGAGCCCTAAAAAGAAAAACAGACAATTGTGATATGTCCTGCCTACAAATTTACAGTGATTTAAAACCACATACAGAACTACAGAGTTTGCTCAAAGGGCTATTCATAAAGCAACACCACGCCAGATCAACTTCTATCTATGCTGAGAGCTTACTTCGCAGATTTATTATCTACAATAAAATAGATTTCTTGCTAATCTTTACCAGGATTCATTGTACTCTGCAATTGAAAACAGACTCATTAGAATGACATCAAATTTTTGCTTTGGAATTGCATCATTCCTAAGAAGAAATATATTAGCTTTGTTACTAGAAACACAAAGCCTTGCTGGGTAACTCATGCAATGTAATTGTCCTTCTCTTACCTATATCGACACTGTATTGAATACAAATACAATTAGATACCTTTACATTATTTTGTTTTTCAAGTTCCCCAAGTAGAAAGGTGGATTCAGTAACATTTTCATTAGGAGTTCTCTTTGAGAAACAGAACAAAAACCTTGTAGGAAAATGCAAGTATTTCAATAAAAGCTGTTTGGAACTACGATTATTCCTTTAAATTTTTTCTTCAATATGTTAACAGTATAATAAAATAACAAGAAGACGAAGTTGTTTCTTACAAATGCATATGACATACTTGCTTCTAAAAGTCTATGAAGACGGTCCTCTCTGTAGCATACACCCTCAGAATTAACTGAAGTCTTCACGATAAATGAAAATCACACCACTTTAAGTAGCACTTCCACTGTAGCAACTTTTTTTTTAAGATTTTATTTATTTTTAGAGAGAGGAGAAGAGAGGGAGAGAAACATCGATATGCGAGAGAAATGTGGATTGGTCGCCTCTTGCACACCCCCTACTGGGGACCTGGCCCGCAACCCAGGCATGTGCCCTGACCACATATCAAACTTGTCACCTTTTGGTTTGTGGGACGACGCCCAACCAACGGAGCCACCCTGGTCAGGGCTCCACTGTAAAAGCATGTATACATACACACACCATTCAGCAGAATTCTCCTTTTCTGCATGGACTTATAATTTCTCCTTCCTAGACCCCCAAGGTGCTGTTCACCTTGGAACTTCATGTCCTAACTGTTAATAAACCAAGGAACACGTAATTCAATGACAGTCTTCATACTAGAAGAAAATACTGCCTGCCCGCTACCATGAATAATAGTGCTTTGACGTTTTACCCCAGGTCATCAATGAGGGCAGTTTGGGTTTTTTCCCCTAGAGCTATTTAACCACACTCACCTGCTCACCTGTACCAATCAAAGGCACTATCTTTCAGTTAGAGAGCCTGGTCATCTGGGCTAGCTTTGATTCATCCTTGACACAGGGAATGTATTTCATAACTTGTATCTCATTAGACAGCTCGATCTTGCCAAACAAATACAAACTTGTAGTAAATACTCGGTGAATACAATTCCAGGTAACTGGAGGTTAACCAATGAAGTCCATCCCTTTCTCATATACATGTGCTTCTTTATCATACAACCTATCTTGAATGTAATTGATCCTTTTTCTATGATACTGAAGATCATTACCAAGTTACAAATGTGTAAATGGGTGTCCAAGAGGGAGGAGATTAGTGGCCCGGGGCGGGGCCGGGGGGGGGCGCGCGTCTGCCTGACCTCCTCTACCACCAGTGCGCACTGGCTGCTGTAACGTTCCACTAGGAGAAATCTTGTGACGCCGCAGGACCCCTGGAGTGGATGAAATGTCAGGGTTTTCACTTTGCCCTCTCACTAAGTTTTAGAGGTGGATTAGCTAATATTGGCCACGAGGTGTTTTCTCTCTGAGTGACGAAACAAAAAAACCCACAGTAAAACGCAGTGTTTTAAAGATAGGAGCTACAGTGTTGTAAACGAAGCCTGGTTCACCAGGATGTCGGCAGCTTTTCCGTCCAGAGGGTGAAGGTGGCAGGAGTGACCTAATGTGACTGAGATTTAAAGAGACTAAGAACTGCAAATTGGCAGTTACAAAACAGTCACAGGGACGTGAAGCACAGCACAGGGAATATGGTCAGTAACACGTATGGCGCCAGGTGGGAACCTGAAATGTCAGTGGGATCACTTTATGAAGCACATGCCTGGCTAACCACCACGCTGTACGCCTGCAGTTAGTACAACATAGTATTGAAAAGAGACTGTAAGGGAGTAGGGTGGAGGCGAGCAGACCTGTTAGGAGGCTGACGCCCAGCCCTAAGCAGGAGGAGATGGTGGCTCGGCCCAGGCAGTAGAAGAGATGTAAGAGGCTGGATCCCGGAAAAACGTTTGAAATACAGCGTCCATCCCTGGATCTCGGGTTAGATGCCAGGCAGCAAAAAGAGGAGGTCGGGGTGACAGCAGGGGGTTTACCCTCAGGACACAGAAGGAGGGCACCTGCGATTTTCTGAGATGCTGCTTCCCTCTTTTCACATGCCTTTCATTTGTTTTTCTCTCTTTTTTTTTTTTTTTAAACATTTTTCTCCTTTCCTCCCTTTCTGCAGTCACTAGCTCACAGGCACAATTCAAACAACTGAGATACCCTGACATCCAAAACCACATACCTACAATATTAAAGGACAGTAGTCCCTCAGCATCTCAGGGGACGGGTTCCAGGACCCAGCTCCAGCCGCTCCACAGGTACCCAAAGCCTTGGACGCTCAAGCTCCTTAAATAAAGTGGCACTTCTTGCATATAACCTGCACATATACTCCCATGTAATTTAAATTATTTCTAGATTACTCATAACACCCAATGCAATGCAAATGCTATGTAAATAGCTCTCCCACTGTATTCTTTAGGGAATGACAAGAAAAAAATCTAAATATTCATTGTAGGCCTAACTCCATACTCCACAGTACATGTCAGCAACAACCTGTTTTCCCTGGAATATTTTCAATCCTTGGTTGGTTGAATCTGAGGATGTAGAACCTGCTAATACAAAGGGCCAACTGTACTTAAAACACTTTATTCTTTTATTTGTTATCTCAATGAACCTCAACTCATTCTTAATAAAGAAATTTACCATATAATTCAGATTGTTACATGATTAAAACTCTGACCTTCTACACTGTCTGTTCCCTCTCTGTCCAAATAGAAATGTACTTATCATTTCATTCTATAGAAAATATTTTTTATTTTATTTTATTTTATTTTTTTTAAGAATTCACTCCATACCTGCAAACTTGGACCCTCCTGTCAATCACTTCTAATCCTAATGGCTAAAAACCGGATCCTTGTTTTTTTTTCTCTTAACTCACAACATTGTCAAGTTATAGATCTAAAATATTTTACCATATCAAAAGCACTACAAATCCAACACTAACTTCTCAAATGATATTTTTTAAGTTAAATTTTATATTAATCTACACTAAAGTCAAGGGATGTTGCAACAAAAGAACTGACACTTTGTCTGAGAGCCACTACACTCTGGAGGGGGCAACTGTTCCTTGCGGGGGACTGTCCCTTCCTTTAAGGCCGGTGAGCACGGCCCTGGTGCAAGCAAAGCCAGCAGTACCTTTACATATTTTTTTTTTTTTGGATAATGAAAAATAGCTACACACATCCCCAAATACCGTCCCGAGGAGAACCTCTGCGCTGTTTTTATATATCCACTTAACTAACACAGCTACCTCAAGGTCAAAGTTTTATCAAATGTGAGATCCAGTCAGTGTAGAAGCAGAGAGGAATCTTTCCACCCCATATCACTGAAACTTCACAAACCTATCGAATTTTTTTAAATGCGAAACAATTAAGCTCCTCTGGTTTTCCAAAGGTAAATAATGAAAATCTTAAAATTCCTAGGACTTCTCTGACCCTAGCTTATGCCTTAGTTCCTTTATTTTTTAGGATTTCTATGCCTGACCAAACCTTCTTGAATATTTCTACATATCCCTCTCATTCTACCTTGTTGATGTTTATCAGATAAAGGCTATTAGGCAGATGTACAAATACAGAGCATGTAACTATCACCAACTATTCTTTATTAATATTACAGACTCCTAGAAAAAATAAGAGCTTGATCTTAACTTTGCAAATCCAAGGTTTTAATAATATACATGTACTTAATTTTTCAAGATATTCCAATTTATAGAACAAATCTTCCTTACAAATATTTAGTGATACATAAAGATGATTTAATTATACATGGTCAGTATCAATACAGCAATAATACTATTCAGGTCTTTATTCCAATACTGGTCCCTTAAAGTGTCAAGACAACTTCAACAACTGTTAAGCTGCTTCACCTGATGTGGAGGGCCGGGGGCCAGAGAGTATAGAGATGGGACCACCCTGCAGCCCCAGCCACATCTCTATCACCCACCCTCCGTGATAAGGCAGATTAAACAAAAGACACACACAAAGTAAAAGCAACACATACAACAAGTTGAAATGTCATGTCTGCCCGCTGGGGACTTGTAAAAACTACAAAACTATATGAAAGGCAAAGTAAAAGTAATTAGATATTATTTAAGATTAGTTTAAATCTGGGAGGGAGGAGGGAGAATTAGGAAAATAATTATTTGATTTAATTTGCATATTCACCCATAAGTCCCTGATATTATTTTACAATTATTCTTTTGGATCAGTGTAGATCTTTTGGGGCTTTTTGTAAATTAATTAATTAAATCTGCAACATTCACTTAGAGGTCACTAATATTAATTATTCTATAATTACTTTCTGAAGTTACAAAAGAATTCCACATTGAAACATGGACACAGAAGAAACTATTTAAATTTTAAGACTCAGGAAGCAACATACAGCTTATGGGCAAATAATAAACAAAAATCAGAGAACTAATATGGTTATAGCCTGGGCTCGATGCAAAAATAGCTTTAAAAAAATTTTTGTGAAAAGAGTCTTGGAAAATTTACGACCTACATCATTTAAATAATGGAATACTACACAGCTATAAAAAAGAAGGAACTTAACTTACCCTTTGCAACAGCACAGATGGACCTGGAGCTATATTGTGCTACGTAAAATAAGCCAGTCAGAGAAAGACAAACACCATATGATT